GTGATGTGGAGGAGACCTTTGGCAGTGGCTAGGTTTGGGAATATGAGTGTTTTTTCTTATATGAACAAGAGTCTTTTTGGTTTGAGATGCGAGAGAAGTTCCTTGCGAGGTGAGGTAAACTGCAGGGGAGAGAGGAAATCTTACCCTCTTCGCTGTTTTACAATTTAACCCTTCTATTTTCCGCTATTTACAAAATATAGTGTATGCTAATGCTAAAGTCAGTCCACTTCGAGACGTTATATCGTGCCACGTACATGTGGCCCCCCTGGTTCGTTTTGGCACCAAAAGCGCTAAACAAGTGACCTATGTTTTCTTCGAAAGGAAATATAACCTGCTTGGTGCAATCTGCAATCTACAATTTGAATTTTTGAGGATGTTTTCGGCGATTTGGGCCTGTTAATAATCGAATCATCTCGTAGCTAATAACTGTTTCATGCAGGCACGTGCTAGTAAATATGCAACCGTTGCTTCCTTCAGTGCCAAAGGCGTCAACTCTTGAGTAAAGAATGGATTGTCAATCTATCTTGCCGCCACCAAGTGTTACAAAAACTAAATTAAAAAAAACGAACTACTCGTCTCGAAACGTGGCAGCGACAAAACATTCTCAAATGATTCCAGACGTCGTCGTCATCACACGTAGTTTGACTGCTTGACCCATGCATGACTCCATCAGAGTCCCCAACATGGCGAAATATCCCGCTTACAGCTTACTGTGCATCTACTACCTTGGCTGCCAAGCCAGCCAGCTCTTACTTCCTTCCTACCTGCCTTCCTGCCTTGCCGCGGCACCGAGCTCTACGAGTACAAATACTCAGGAGATCGATGGATCCTCAAGTCACCAGTCTCTTCATCACTCTGTGTCCAACTAGCTAGCATCTGCAGCAGCATCCTGGGAGAGAAATAATGGTGTATGAGGCGGTGGAGGCCATTGCTCTCAGGAGCCAGGTTCAGAGAAGAAACAACAGTGTCAGTGTGAGAAGCCATGAGCATCAGGTGAAGGCCACGGAGGAGAATGAGCCCATATGGGGCATTGTTCTCTGGATCATCCGGAAGGTTTGCCCGGCCTTGTAGGCCATGCTGCCACGTATGGATGATTAGAGTTTAACAGCTCAAGGTGGATTCTTGTTTTGCTTCGAGCAGAGATTTTGCAAACGTCATGTGTCGTTATGTATATTCTACTGTATGTTTTTAGGGGATATCTACTATGTATTTATGTCATGTATGTATGTATTGTTTAGCCAGTTCAGGCAAATGTGTATGTCACTTGTAGTTAGTAGGAACAGTTCATCAAGGTCATGTAATATCAATGTCCAAGAACTCCGGTCTTGGCCCAACTGATTGTATTTTGTGCTTTACTTATGAATAATGTTAGCCAATATCTCCAACCCGTGTTTCTTCTTTGGTCTTTACATTTTGTTGTGCTTAACGTGTTGAATATCATTCTCCTAAAAGGGGACGTGTTGTGAAACTACGAATTTACAAGTGTTCTTCACAGCTTTTCAAATTAAAGGGGCACCTTTTTTTAGTTGTAAGCCAGAATATGATACTTCCTGGTGGACAGCATACCATACGGTCGGCTGGACGAGCCGAGGAGCGAATCAGTGGCGCGAGATTCCTACTACGAGATCCCCTAGATTTGTGATCTCTCTCTCGCGCGAGTCAATGGCATCGGTGGACGCCGACGAGGTGCAGGGCTGATGACCAGGGCCACTGTCTCGCACGTCATCTTCGACACGAACGGCCTTCTCCTTGGTATCTTCTCCCCGGTTCTCCTTCCCGCGCCTTATTTCCTCACTTGATTCCACTTCTGACCTCTCGGCCACTGGTTTCTTGGTTTGTCGATAGCGTTGAATCAAAACGAATAAACCAATCGGATCCCTGCCTAGCGTCGGTGAGCCCGTCTCCGGCGAGTGGGAGCCCAGCGGTGGCACTCGCGGGCCGACGGTAAAGTTATCGTTGGCACCGAGCACGTCGAGGAGGTCGTTCTAGACCTCAGTGGTCTAGGTACACCCGGAGTGGGGAAGGGCATGGAAGACCTCGACGTACTGTTCAGCGAGGCGAGAGTGGCCGTAGGACAAGATAACCGCCGAAAATGTTGCAGGAGAGAGGGGAGCCGAGTGTTCGAATGTCGGAGGCATGGGTCGAAATGTGGGTGAACAGGCACGCTTGGGTGGGCGGGAAGAGTAGCATCGAGGTGATCGGCGGAGTGAGAGATGGTGGAATTCGTTTGGAGCCACAATGGAATCGGTTGGTGGAAAGGCTAGGAGGGGACAATGGCGTGGATGACGCAAAGCGTGAGGTTCGGCGGGGAGGGGACGGGAGGCAGATGTGGTTCAGGTGCTCTCTAGGAAGAAGTCGCGTCGTATGATGGTTGAGAGGTGGTTGACCGTGGCAAAGTAGGCGTGACTGCAGGTGGGGTGGTGCGGCACCTCCGTGGTGTTGGCTGCGTAATCTAGGAGCGTCGCTAGGCGACGGAGAATGACGGGAAAATAGAGGTCATACCGGTAGAACTACATGAAAGAGTGGGAATCTTATCTTCTCCGTTGTTTTACAATTTAATCCTTATATTTTGCACTATTTATAAAAAATGCTAAATTCAATCCATTTCGAGCCGTTATACCGTGCCACGTACATGTTGGTCCCCTTGTCCATTTTGGCGCCCAAAAGAGCTAAACGAGTTATCAATGTTTTTTTTGGAAAAGAAAATATACTGCCCTGCATGGTGCAATTTGCTATTCAAATTTTGAAGATGTTTTCTGCGATTTAATTGGGCCTGCAATACGGTTGTTTTTTACTCGCGAGGTGTTCGACCGGTGAAAAATCGAATCATTTCGTAGCTAAGAATTGTTCTATGCATGCACGCGCTAGTAAAATATGCAACCGTTGCTTCCTTCAGTGCCAAAGACGTCAACTCTTGAGTAAAGTAAGGAATGGGTAGCCAATCTATCTTATAAAAAAAAACAGAACAACACCTGCTTTGCTACTCGAACTACTCGTCTCCAAACGATTATCAAATGATTTCAGACGTCGTCACACGTAGTTTGACTGCTTGACCCATCACTCAATCAGAGTGTCCGACATGGAGACACGTCCTGCTTACTGCTTACTGTACCTGTACTTCCTAGGCTGCCAAGCCAGCCAGCTCATTCTTCCTTCCCACCTTCCCGCAGCACCAAGCTCTATCATTACAAATACTTGAGAGATCGATATGGAACCTCAAGTCTTCCCAGCAAGAACAAATAACCAGTCTCTTCTTCACTTTGCACGCAACTACTAGTAGCTAGCATCTGCAGCAGCATCCAAAGAGGGAAATAATGCTGTATGAGGCAGTGGAGGCCATTGCTCTCAGGAGCCAGCTTCAGAGAAGAAACATCAGTGCGAGGAGCCATGATCATCAGGTGAAGGCCACGGAGGAGAATGAGCTCATACGGGGCATTATCCTCTGGATCTTCAGGAAGGTTTGCCCGGCCTTCTAGGTCATGTTGTGCCATGTACGATGATTAGAGTGTAACAGCTGAAGGTGGATTCTTCTTTTGCTTCGAGCAGAGATTTTGCATACGTCACGTGCTTTTATGTATATTCTACAATATGTTTTTAGGGGATATATACTATGCATTTATGTCATGTATGTATGTATTGTTTGGCCAGTTCAGGCAAGTGTGTATCACTTCTAGTTAGTAGGAACAGTTCATCAAGGTCATGTAATATCAGTGTCCAAGAACTCCGGTCTTGGCCGAACTGAGTGTATTTTGTGTTTTACTTATGAACAATGTTAGCTAATACCTCCAACCCATGTTTCTTCTTTGGTCTTTACATTTTGTTGTGTTTAACGTGTTAAATATCATTCTCCCATAAGGAGAGGAGGTATATTGAGAGAAACTACCAATTTATAAGTGTTCTTCACAGCTTTTGATAGGGGCATTTTATTTTAGTTGAAGGCCAAAATATGATACTTCCTCATGGAACAACATACCATACGGTCGGCTGGACGAGCTCAGGAGTGAACCAGTGGCACGAGATTCCCGTTACGAGATCCCCCAGATTTGTGATCTCTCTCTCGCGCGCCTGTCAATGGTATCGGTGCATGCTGGTGAGGTGCAGGCGGCGCTAGCGCCGGTGACCAGGGCCACTGTCACGCACCGGAGGTTGAGTGGAAACTAAAGGTTTTTTTTAGAAAAGACCTGATAATTATCAAGAAAAAATATCCAGTACAATGGAAAGATAACTGGACGCAGAACGATCAATAAAAATAAAATTCCATTAAAAATCATACTAGCCTTTTTCTTCCTTCAATTGTACACTTGTTGATGTTGAAAATTACACTGAACCAACAATAAAGAAAAGGGATATCTGGAAATGTTCTCGACATATCAAGCTTTAAAGATCACAATAGCCACTCGCCCATTGAAACAAAATCTATAAATCGTTGAGAAAACATCGGTTGAAGCACCACCCCACACAACACGGGCTTGCAATCCATCACCACCGGTCCAGAGAGAAAGAAAAACCGGACCATGTTGCAGCATAACACGAAAGAAGATGTCAAAGTCATCACAGCAATAGCTAACCAATTGCTCTCTTAGATAGACATACCAAGTGCTAAGATGTGAAGAGAGCCAACAAATCCAGCAACACAAAATCTCGCAGGCCCTTCGTCGGCCCCGGATCAGATGTCGTCAGAGTAGAAACATGCCAAAAAGACCTTATTTCAACACGTCGTTGCCACCACCACCTCGTCGGTTCTGCTAGGGTAACAAAACCTAAATAGAAGAAAATAAAACAGGTGGGTCCCCACTTCTCTTGTCGCCGACGAGGCCGCTTGGCAGGGAATAGGAGGAGGCCTAGTGGTGGTGTGGAGGAGACCTTTGGCGGCAGCTAGGGTTGGGCACATGAGATATTTTTCTCTTACATGAACAAGAGTCTGTTTGGTTTGAGGTGCAAAAGAAGTTCCTTGTGAGCTTCGTACGGCGAGGAGTTGAGTAAAACGCCAAACAAAACAACACATTGCAGGCCCAAATCTAAGAAAACATCCTCGGAAACTCAAATTTTAAACTGCATAACGTGCATGGCTAGTTTTTCTACAAACAACGTGATCGCTCTCTTATTAGCTCGTCTGATATCAAGACTGAAAGGGCGGTCCCACTTGCAGGCACTGACATGCCAAAACAATTACAAGCAGGCCATGTTTTCTTTTGCTGAACTACCACTTAAAACAAAACAAAATAGCCAATCGAGTCCCTGCCAAGCGTCGGTGAGCCTATCTCCGACGAGTGAGAGTCTAGCTTCGGCACTTGGGGGCCACCAGTGAAGTTGTCATTGGCACAGAGCACATCGAGGAGGTCGTTGTAGACCTCGCTGGTGTGGGTGCACCGAAGTGGGGAAGGCGGTTGAGATAACCGCCGAACAAGTTCCCGGAGAAAGGTCAGGTCAAGTGTTCGGATGTCAAAGGCATGAGTCCAGAGATGGGTGAGGGGGGACGCTTGGACAAGTGTGAGGAGTAGCCCGGCGAGGTGATCGGCGGAGGGGAGAAGGCGGAATATGTTCGGAGCCACACGTGGAAATGGTTGGTGTGGAGGGGCTAGGAGGGGGCATTGGCACGGATGACTCGGAGCGTGAGATCCGGCGGGAGGGCACAGGAGGCAGATGTGGTTCAGGGTGCGCTCTAGGTAGCGGTCGCGTCATATGATGGTGGAGAGGTGGTTGACCGCGGCGAAGTATGCGTTATTGGACGTGGGATGGTGTGGCAGCTCCGCGGTGTCGTCCGCGTAGTCGGAGAGCGTCGCTAGGCGACAAAGAACAACCGGGGAATAGTGGTCGTCTCGGTAGAACTGCACTGGAGGGCGAAAATCTTATCCTCTCTGATGTTTTACAGTTTAATCCTTCTAGTTTGCACTATTTACAAAAAAATATGCTAAAGTCAGTCCACTTCGAGCCATTATATGGTGCCACCTACATGTGCGTCCCTTGCCTGTTTTGGCACCAAAAGCGCT